CAATTATAAATTTTTTAATTAATTATGAATCAATTCAATGGCAATGGAAACTAGTCAAGGCACATCACATTTAACTCTCGACACGATCCGGAACCCCTTCGACAAGTCTCCCATCTCGACTCGAGAGTTGGGGGGGTTAATGATATACCTAATTGGGCCGACCCAATGGGCCCACCATTTATCTAATAATTCGACCCGCTATACGAAAGCCCAAACACCTTCAAAATAAAGCTTGGGCCCAACAAAGTAAATCCAACCCAATAAACGACATATAAATAGAGGTTTTACTCATTTTGTTAAGGTACGTTATATTATTCACAAGTATTCTAGAGCACATATTCTTTCTACCATCTCCACAATCCGTACATCTGATTTAAGCGTCGGAGGGGTTTTCCCCGAATCAACCCCCGGCTTAGTTCTCGTGGTTTATTTCGCAGGGACCTCGGACCATCGAATTGGCGAGCTACTGATCCGCTTTGCTCTTCCAACTCATTTACCACACTATCCCAAGTGATCTAAGTAATTAGCATCATCAACGATCTGTAGATTAATTGAACTATGATCCCTGACCATTCCAATACAATTTCCTTGTCTAAACTGAATTGCAAATGATTCCGCAATTAGTAACGTCGAGTGAGTCCGTTGCCGCCGGTTGAGTGATTTCCGATCAACTATTAGTCATACTCTGATCAAATAACATGTCACCCCGTCATCCAAGAAACATAAAAGATGTCAATATCCACACAGAAATGGCCGCAATACAACAAATGTTAGCTGAACTTCCTACAAGGAAGAACTCTCGTACTTGAAGTAGAGGAAATATTTTCCGTAATAATGTAAACAAAGCCGATTGTGAACGTCATGATTCATCATGTTCAACAAGTGATTTTAAAAACCCTTTTATCACTAAAAACAATACCGTGGTGGAACGTTTTTCCATGGCTCTTAAATGAGGCAATAAAACTATTCAAGTAGGTGTTCCAACTTTTGACGAAAAAATAAATGCGGTTGCATACCGTGATGGGATAACTTTACCTAAGGTTATCTTTGAGTGGTCATATCTTGATGAAATTAACTTTGATCAGAAAGATCATTATGATGAAGCACATAAACCGAGAATTTGCAAACGAGGCCGAAGACGAGAATCATCATGAAAATTGGGAGATGGAAAGTCGTGTTATTCACGAGGAGATATCAGTCCAACAAGATGACGTATGACTTCATAACAATACATTTCACACGCATTGTCTCTCCGGACACAAAGAGTATATTTTAATGACTGATTCATGGATGTTTGACATGTTGGAACTCAAGTGCGAGAAACATCCGAAGTCATACATTTTTTTTTTTTGTGTTTCAAGAAGGGGACTAAGTATATTTTGCTTCGTTTAAAAAGTACGCCAAATCGCAATTGTCTCAAAAATTCAGTGAACTTGCTATCCTACAAACATTGAAAAAATTAAAAAGAAAAAATCGATGTTTTGGTTCGAACTCCAGGACGAGTTCTTTTCAAGAAGGGGAGAATGATGCATAACTGGTCTTTTCAAATCAGTCAACTTGAAAAAATTATCTGTTACGATTTTAGAAGAGTTAAGTTTTGTATAATGTATGGAAGTCTAGTTTCCAATACAAGAAACGGTGTACGAAACAAGGGTCTGAGGAAAAAGTTATGTTTGATTTTTCTAGAGCCTACCAACTGCACTCGATCGGGAAAATTGAAAGTCTTTTGTCTGTAGGTATTTCTTAGTGTTCTACTTCTTTTATTAGTCTAATTTCGAACTATTCATCTTATTACCAATTAATCAGGTCATATTCTATATATTTCATGAGTCAAAACTAAGTTTATTTATTTTCTAGAAGTAAAAGTTGATAAGTCATTCAAAATTGTAATTTCCTATGTTTGGAGGGATGTTCCAAAACTCCTATATAAACCCTATCAATGAATAAAATCACCATGATTATTTAAGTTTAAATATAGTTTGCAAATTAATTGCATTCAGAGTGAGTGATTCCTCTTTATACAAGTGAGTAACTTGGTTGCGTTGAGCAATTTCGCGATAGTAGCGCCGAGTGAGTCTGCTGCCGCCGGTCGAGTGATTCCCGGTCATCTAAAAAACTTTTTTTTCGAAAAAAATCCAAATAAAATAAAATAATAATCGAAAAAATGAAGAAAAACAAAATCGAAAAATAAATAGAAAAAATTGTTTTCGAAAAATATATAAATATTAAAAAGAAGAAGAAAAAAATATGTACAATAAGAAAAGGGTAATTCGGTCATTTTTAAGTAATTGAGTTGATTTTAAGGAAAACAAACATCAAACACTACTAGTATTTCACTCGTGCGTTGGACGGAGTTCAGTTTTGAAATGAAAAAAATAATAATAATATGGAAACGACTATCTCTTTATAACAACACAAATTTAAGTAAAATAAAATGGAAGGAAATAGAAAAAAAAAGAACATAAAAAGAACATAAACTTTATCTCTTAATTCAGAGTTGTAACATATGCGCGAAGCGCGCAAAACACGATATGAAGATTAAGTGAAATCATTTAAAACATATGGTATAACTCTATTCCGTGGAATGCAATCTACTACACCATGTCAATCTTCTGCAAAATAACTAACTTAACAACAAACACGATAGCAGAAAAATAACACAATAAATATTCAAAAAACCTGCAAGTTTATCTCTAACGGCGTTCAATTAGGATGCACATTAGTCAAACAACAATACAACTTATAAATATTGATAAAGAGATAAGATGTTTACGCCATTATTGATACTAATACCAATGCCGATACCAATATGGATACCAATATTGATTCCAATATTGATACTAATATCGATACTAGTACTGATACTAATACTAATACTGATACTCGTGCTAATACTGATATTGAAACTAATACTAATACTAATAGTGATACTGATACTGATACCGATACTGCAACTGATGCCGAAACTGATACTGATACTAATACTAATACTCATACTCATTCTAATACAAATACTAATAATAATACTAATATTAATACTAATACTAATACTAATACTAATACTGATATTGATACTGATACCGATACTGCAACTGATGCCGAAACTGATACTGATACTAATACTAATACTCATACTCATACTAATACAAATATTAATACTAATATTAATACTAATACTAATACTAATACTAATACTAATACTAATACTAATACTAATATTAATACTAATACTAATACTAATACTAATAATAATACTAATACTAATACTAATACTAATACTGATAGTAATATTGATACTGATACTGATATTGATATTGATATTGATACTGATATTGATACTGATACTGATACTAATATTTATACTAATAATAATATTAATATTCGTAATAATACTAATACTAATATTAATACTAAAACTAATATTAATACTAATACTAATAATAATACTAATAGTGATAATGATACTGATACTGATACTGATACCGAAACTGATACCGAAACCGATACTGATACTGATGTTGATACTGATATTGATACTAATAATTATACAGATACCGATACTCATACTAATACTTATATTGATAATAATACTAATAAAAATACTAATAAAAATAACAATACTCATACTAATACCGATAATGATATTGATACAGATATAGATACTGATACTGATATTGATACTAATACTGATACTGGTACTTAGACTTATACTGATATTGTTATTGAAACTAATACCGATGCCGATAGATATACTGATACTAATACTGATATTGATACTAATATTGATACTGATACTGGTACATATACTTATACTGATACTGATATTAATACTAATATTATTATTAATATTGATATTAATATTCATACTAATATTAATATTAATACTATTAATAATACTAATACTATTAATAATACTAATACTAATACTAATACTAATATTAATACTAATACTAATACTAATACTGATACTAATACTTATACTTATACTAATACTAATACTAATACTAATACTAATACTAATACTACTACTAATACTAATACTAATACTAATACTAATACTAATACGAATACTAATACTAATACTGATACTAATACTAATACTAATACTAATACTATAATACTAAAACTAATACTAATACTAAAACTAATACTAATACTAATGCTAATGCTAATTCTAATGCTAATACTAATATAATACTAATACTAATACTAATACTAATACTAATACTAATACTAATACTAATACTAATACTAATACTAATACTAATACTAATACTAATACTAATACTACTAATGCTAATGCTAATGTTAATGCTAATGCTAATGATAATGCCAATGCCAATGCTAATACTAATACTAATACTAATACTGATAATAATACTAATACTAATAGTAATACTAATACTAATACTAATATAAATATTAATTCTATTACTAATACTAATATGTTAATATCACTACAAGAAAATTTGGTTTTAGCGACACTATGCTATGGTCGCTGAAAGTTAAAAAAATGTCGCTAAAACATATAGTGACCAAATATAAATGGTCACGATAGGGTAGCTACTAAAAGTACTCAGTGACGACGTATTTAATTGGACACTGAAACGTGCGTGTTTAGCGACTCTCCAATAATGGTCGCTAAACACGTAACAATTAGCGACCTCTTTTGACTCGCTAATCGAAAAATTTATGGTCATTATAATCTTGGCATGGTCGCTATAACTAGACATACAGTGACCATATTATTTTGGTTGGTAATTCATGTACATTAAGCAACCAAATAGTTGGTTGCAATAGCTTTTATTTGGTTGTACAATTGTCATAATTAACATATTTTAGTGACCGTATATTCATCTCTAAGAATACTTTTATAGCATTAAAATCGGCGGATGCAATAATTGTGTTATCTTCGCAAAACCTTGCCCTGTTTTATATGGAAAACAATTTAAATTAATTGCTAATCTTATATACAATAAAATTAAGCATTGTTTGCAAACTAAATAAAACCACATCTGCAAATTTACACTTCATCAACCAATCAAATGTCAGTTTCATATACAATCAATGATACTCAAATACCATAACATATCGAATCATTCTATGTAGTTCCAAACATATGTAACTTTGGATCCCAAACAAGTACAAATCTTGGATTGGCGAATGCTACTCTAGATTACGTCAAGCATGAAATGTGGTGAGGCGTCTTCAAGAGTTCAAAGTTGGACAAATCAAGTGGTTGGTGGTTCCCTCATCATTCAACAACTGAATAACCTGACAATGATTCAAGTACTCGTCATTATAATCACAGCCAACACATTTCAGATTCATGCCAATCGAGAAACACAGATAGGTTAAACAAAACATGTCCGAAAAGTAAAATGAAATATTTAGTAAATAGATACCTTGTTTACTTGTATACCTCTGCTCTTGTAAGACAGTAAGTATACCAAAAAATATTTCTACCCCTAGGATCCCAAAACTGTGAATATTTGTTTCCACATCAGAAAGTGGAGGTGGTTCAGAATGCTCCGACTCAGATTTTGTATGATTGTTTGGCTTGGATACAATTTGTGATATACGAAAGTAAAAATTTCAAAACACTTCGAAGCATGACGATACCTTTGTACAAAACATGTATCCGAGCACAAAAACTGTATACCTAAACAGTCAGGTGAAATCTAATCTACAAAATAACTAAAAACTAACATTTCAACCATATTGTACTCTCAACAATCAGGCCCATATAATTACATATTGATTGTTGAACCATCATCTACCAAAAGCATACATGTAACAAAATCCTTCTGAAATTAGCAACTCCAATGTCCAAATACAACTGCCACAACAATGAGCAATAGAATGCAGGTGATAATACAAGAATTCACAGCTGACTGTTTATCAAAATAAGCAACAACTCTAGGAAGAATAGAAAAGGTGAACATTTTCTATGGCTTATTTCCTTCTTCTCCCTTTCTTTTCATTTTGGCATAACTCAGAGAACATAAAGAAAAGCCATAAGTAATCAAACAAATAATACGTCTGTCTATACATGAATCAATTTGACAAAGCCAACATAGGCATAGGCAACCAATTTTATAACATATATATCCTAAGCAAAGGATAAGCAAAGGATACTATATTGTTATCAGAAGATGAGTTCTCAATGAGTTCTCAATTTTGTGTTGAGTCAGACATGTAGTAAAAACAGGATGAATGAATAATAAAGGAAGAAATTTAGATGCTATCATTGACAAAAAATAGATTAAAAAAAAAATAGAACTTACACCATGTATGTCCAAAGACAGACGAATTATCAGTTTTGTTCGTTCACCGAAGATATACAATGAGTTGAGTATAACAAATTCAAAGTAATCAAAGGCAAATAGGCATAAATATGACAAATAAATTGAGATATGCCTTTGGAGTTTGCTGCAAGTGAACTTAGCCCCAAACTCCAGTGAAAAGAGTCAAACTGTTTTATATGCAATTAAAATCAAGTTGCAAACAACAAATTAATAATCAAAGCACACAAATAAAGTACATATGATTAAGTAAAGAGAAGATTACGGTAAATTAAGTAGATAAGATGGTCGAAGGCTAGAATTGTACCATTTGCTGCATGTTTGTGTACCGTACCAATTGGGCCTTATCAACCCTCGCATTGGTTGAACCCCACTGAAACCGCCGGCTATGTAGTAGAAATTTCCTCAAATACTAAATACAAAAACTAGAAAAAGGATTATATAAAAGACCTCTCGGAAAATAAAGTCAGATAATAACACAAATTTATTAGGTCTGCAAGCTCTGCCAATGTTTTGACAAAACATCAATACACCATTGGATTTTAGTCCAACAACAGTAATATTGAATTATCCTCACAGCCCACAAATTCTATACAATACGTCATATTTGACACCAAAAATTCGAGAAATGGGTACAAATATAGAAGTATTGCGTGCTTCCAAAATCTCGAGTTTGAGAATTGGGGATTTTAAAGAACCTGATAAATTCATACGTGAATGGGTTACAACAAGGCCACCGATATCGCAAAAGGCGACACAAGAACACCAATTACTGTGCAAGTGAGCGCCTGAGATGACGCCGATTTGAGGACGTGAGGGTGAGAGATGGGATTTTTGGGGATTTCGCTGGGAATTATTCAAGGTGGAAGTTTACGGAGTCTCAAACTTCTTATATGTCTAATACAAATTATAAGATAATTAATAGTTAATTTATTTAATATATCAGACTTATATCTTCTTATTCATAATTTTTCTAAGTTATTTTTTTTATCATTAATTTTTTATTGATTTAACTCAAAAAGGTTAATTAAATATTTTTCCAATATATTTTTAAAAGAAATTGTTGCCACGGTTCATTCAACTATTATAACTATAAGTATATCTAGAGCAACCATGTAAAATATGGTTGCAAGTGAGATACGATTAGCAGCAAAATTGGTCGGTTACTAATAACTCCTTTGTTGTCTTTTATCAACAACGTAACATATTCTATTAAATTGGTCACTATAGATATTAATTTTTAGTGACCATGATATAATGTCGCTATAGATACAATCTTTGGTCGTTACAGTACCACCTGGGGCGCTTCAAATTATAGCGACCATTTACAGCTACCGACTACTGGTTTGTCGCAAAAATATTTAAATAATTTGCATTTTGCGACCACATTAACATTGGTGGTTAAATGGATATTTTAAGCAACCATTTTACTCTCGTCACTGAGAATTTGGTTGCAGAAACCAACTTTTCTTGTAGTGTATTGTTAATGTTAATGCTAATTTACATGTACTAATGCTAATACTAATTTTTATGTTAATGCTAATTTGGATTGCTAATGCTAATTATAATTGTAATTCTAATATTACCCAAATCCTTATCGTACTCCTAATCCTATTTATAACACTAATCATGATTCTAATCCTAATCATATATAATCTTAATTCTAATCCTAATCCTAACACTAATCATAATTCTAATCCTAACCCTAATAATTTAATACTAATAATGCTAATGCTAATACTAATGTTAATTCTAATTATAATTCTAATCATAATCCTAATCCTAATGCTAATCATAATCCTAATACGAACATGTCTTTAATTGTAGTACTAATCGTAATCAAAATCTTAATTGTAATTCTAATACTAATATTAATCATAATCCTAATGCTAATCCTAAAACTAATTCTAATAATATATTAATTCGAATCACAATCCTAGTTTTAATGCTACTATTAATTCAAATAATATTAATTATAATCCTAATTCTAATGTTAATACTAATCACAATCCTAATGCTGATTTTGTATCAATGTTTTTTTGCAATGATCTATTATTTTGTATAAAAAATAATTATATTCAATCTCGCACCCTTTATATCATCTAAAAACACATATTAAATATATTATAAATTAATATTTAATTAGATTATCAAACTGATATTAATTTTTTTTTAAATATTATAAGGATATAAGCAAACGTTAAGACGTAAAAAGAACAATAAACGTTTTTAATAGGATAAATAACGAAAATCCTCCAGAACTTTGGCTAAATTACGAAAAACACCCCTATTTATCGGTAATTACCAAAATTCCCCTTATGTTTATTTATATCTTACACGACCCCCTTAAGGTGTGATTTTTTACGGAATATTTTTTATTCCATGTAATATCCCAAAAAAATGAGGATTCTATCCTTGTTGACGTGACATTTCTTTTATCCTACTTTTTAAATACAAAAAATTTCCCTAGGGGAGGTAAAAGTAATATTAAAAAGTCGTGAAGGTGTTGTTTAATAAGAATAAATTAAGATTTCGTGTAAAGTCCCCCTTAGGGTAATTTTTGTCTTTAAAAAGTACCATAACGAAATGTCGCGTGTGTAGGGTAGAATCAACATTTTTTGGGGAATATTCCAAGTAATAAAAAAAAATCCGTGAAAAGTCATACTGTTAGGAGGTTGATGTAAGACGGAAACAAACGTTAGGAGAATTTTGGTAATTATGAATATGTGGGGGTGTTTTTCTTATCAAATGAAATGATAACTACTAAATTGATATTTGTTAGATAATGTTTTATTGATATATTATGATACTTGAAATTTGATAACTTTTTCCATCCATAACAACAATATTGCATCAAACTTTCTCAATTTAGAAAGACACACACATAATTATGCAATTACTTCTTATATAATTGTAGTCTTTTATATAATATATAAATATTTTATTGAGTTTGGAACTAAAAATGGATCGTAGAAACTACTGATTTGCCGATTGATATTGTATTTGTTAATGTAAACTATTTAAAGTAAGAACACCTCGAGTGGGGTTATTAAATGCGTTATCAAAACCTTTAACCACCATTTTCATACTAAAAAATAGTAATTTAAATTCCAATAGAGTTATGAAATAAGGGTTGTGTTTGATATTTCATCTTTCGGAATGTAAAAATACTTCATGCGGAATAAAATATCAAACATGAGTTATGAATTTAACCAACCCAGTGTCCATTTAGAAAATGACATATGGCAATTAGATATATAAATCAATTTAATGATTCTTAATTAACAACCATTTTATACGTATGGTTGGAGCATATTAAATATCACATAAATATTTGCAAAACCATCTTGATACTTTTGAATTGGAGTTGCTCTAGATATGTACTTAATTATATTTATCAAAGTTATAGAGAAATACTTATTAGTTAATACAATATATAATATATAGGATCATTATACATTTTAAACAAAACAATTGATATGCTTAATTTTTGGTATTAAATAAAGTGAATAAACGAATTTAATACTAAAGTTAGAATAGCATTGTTATATTTTGGAATATATAAATCAATATTTTTTTTATCAATTGATTAAACTTAATTTATGTTCTTCAATTTATTAGTATAATTATGATAAAGTTTGTATTTTAATTAGTATATAATTAAAAAAATTAAATCAGTCATAAAATTTATTGTCACTGGATTCGGTGAAGAAAAAAGAAAAGTTAAAACAATAACATGAAATTCATGTAGTATAATTTTTAATATGGTAAATAATTGGGATACTATTATTGCACACATAGGTGGAAAAAAAATAGTGCCAATTTTCGCAATATAGTAAATTCGAACATGTATCTTTCTTTTATACAAATAATGTTAATATATAATATTACATTAGTACAAAAAAAAACGTATTCTCTGGTTATGTTCATGTAAAATGTATAATATATTAATATCAAATAATTTATTTTGCGTATTTTTTTAATATAAATCCAAATTTATTAATTAAAATACAAATTTTCCATAACATCACTAATCATGCAACTATAATAAGGGAAGACTCTAAATTGAATTTAACTAAATTTAAATTAAATTAATTACTATTAAAATTAAATTCAAAAATAAATCCATTTATAGTTTCCAATAAAGTTGATATATTTAGAGATTTTATAAATTGTAGGATATAAATATATTAATACAATAATAAAATATATTTAATTACCTTTACTTTTGGAAATGATGACATGTTTTTTAAGGATTTATTTTCACCAATCAATTTGCTACATAGGATGAAATTGAATACATATCATCAATTGAAATTGCCAGATGTCAAGCAATTAAGGGTGTAATTCAACTTTTATATATTATATAGATTAATTACTATTAAATTAAATTAAAAAACAAATCTATTTATAGTTTATAAGAAAATTGATATTTATATAGATTTTATAAATGGTAGTACATAATATATTAAAAAATAATAAAATATATTTAATTACCTTTAATTTTGGAAATGATGACATATTTTTTATGATTTATTTTCACCAATCAATTTGCCACATGTGATGAAATGAAATACATGTCATCAATTGAAATTGCCAAATGTCAAGCAATTGAAGGTGGAATTCAACTTTTATATATTATATAGATTAAATAATGGGAAAATAAAAAATTCAAAATTTGATAACAAACATCTTATAAATTTATAATAGACCTACATTTTATAGGGATGGTTATCTTATCTTAGGTAATCTTATCTTGTCAACCAAACGAGGTCTTATAACTTAATTAAAAAGGTCTACATTAACGAAGTACATTAACTGAAGGTTCTTGTATGCACTATGAGTTGTATTTAGGATGAGATCGTGACATAAAGTTGCTTAACATCATTTTCGGCCAGTTGGGTTAAACCGGAATGAGTTCGATCGCGACAACTATATTACCTCCCGTTCATATTAAGTGGCTTTTTGGCCAAAAAAAATTCCCTATTAAGTGTCCATTTAGGTTTTCAAAAATAAAATGATTTTGTTTAATAAATTTGCCCTTTATCATTGATTATTTAAATTCATTAATTGATTACTAAGAGTTATTTAATAGTACCGCAAAGGGTAATTTGGCGACTTTCTATTAAAAAAATAGGCTATTAATTAGGTTTCTTAATAGAGGTAATATGCCTCAGACTCCTCAAACCAAACTTAAATAGATGTGAGTGACAAACTCAAATAAAATATTTTTACTACATCCTTATTTTAAAATAAAAAAATTGATACATATCCTTTGATTTTTATTTAACCCAAATCTACCCTTACAATACCTAATAAAATTCACGTGACTCTTTTTTTTTCTTATTTTTCCCCCCCCCCCCCCCCCCCCCTCTTTTTTTTTTCTTTTCAATTATAGTGAAATGATGAAGGTCATGGTGGTGGTTATGGTAGATGGCGGCGGTTATGGTAGGCGACGACGGCTATGGTGACGCTCGGTGTAGGGGTTGCATCGGGAGGCTCTGTGATGGCAGGCTCGTTGTTTGCTTGCAACCAACAGGGATGAATCGTGAAGGTGGGTCTGGGTGTGGGGGGATGGAGAAGGGGAGTAATGGCGGTGGTGGTGGTGGTGGTGATAGTGGCGGATCGGATTTATGGTTTGTTGGGAAATTTAAGATTTTTCGATTTACATGTCTACAGATGTCTATGAGTGTCTATGGGTGTCTATGGTGTCTGACGGCTAGGGTTGAAAGAAGTTAGGGTTTCAAGATATCTATGGGTTACTAAGGATTACTACAGTGTCTACGGGTTTCTGTAGATGTCTACGGCAAAAAAATAAAAAAATCACAATTTTCAATTGATCTAGAAAAGAAGGAGAAAAAAAATAGATTTTATATAATGAAAAAAT